CGTCTTTTTTGGTTCTTTGTCGGTTTTTATTCACAAGACTTAGTTTGCTTTTAAATTTCATAACTTATAAGGAAATAAGCTACATTGAAATAAATTAAACACAATAGAGAAGACCGTGCCTTTTTCTTTTCTTCCCCCCCTCCCCACTTCTCTTTTAAACATGGCTTAGTAGAATGGGCAAACCAAATCGACAGAAAGACAGGCAAAAAATATATTTTAAAAAAATGGTCCCCCAGTGCCTGCCACTCAGCCATCGGAAATAAAAGCAAATAATAATAATAATTTTTAAAAGGCATGAAATGCACCTCTTTTAGTTTTCTTTCGTTTTTTGTTCTCCCGTCTTTTTTACCTTTCGCCCCCGATAAGAAACAAAACCCGAAAGATGGCTAAAGGCGCGCCGCGGGTCTCGCCGGGGGTGTCTCTGCCGGTCGCGGGAGGGGGACACACGGGTAAATCGCTGCTGGATCCGTCGCCGACACCGCACCGTATCTGTGGTCCCATCGCAGCCAGGGGAGCGAGGGTATGTACAAAGTGTGGGGGGGCAGCGCAATAATAAATATCTGTGTGGGTCTCTTCCAGGGTGCGATATTCCTGCTCCGAACCAAAACCGTTCCCAAGCCTCTTTCCTCCGCAGGCTCTCGCTTGACTCGGTTAAGTGGAAAGTTTTGCTTTAAAGTTCGCTTGTGGCAGGGATGTGCCGTGCACTCGCATGGGATTTTTTTTCTTGTTGGCTGTTGTTTGCTTTAGGGTTTGGGGGTTTTTTTGCTTGGTTTTGTTTGTTTGTTTGTTTAAATGGGTTGTTTTTAAACCCCAGTTTGGAAACTTTTTCCCTCAAAAACCTGTGGTTCTGAGCGTAGGGAGCGATCAGGGTCGGGCTTGCTCCAGCTGCTGGTGCTGACTCCTGATGGCAAACCTGCTGACATGCACCGGGATGGGTACCACGATCTTGGGGTTTCGGGAGGGCTCCCCTGTCTTGGAGTTGGCGTTGCCCGCCTTGACCCGTTTCCATTTCGCCCGCCTGTTCTGGAACCAGATTTTCACCTGCACCTCGCTGAGTTTGAGGGCATGCGCGATCTGGGACCTCTCCGTCAGGGACAGGTACTTTTTGCAGTGAAACTCCTTCTCCAGCTCCAGCAGCTGCTCGCTGGTGAAGGCTGTTCGCCGCCGCCGGTTTTTGCCCGTGGAAGTGGTGTTGGTGGAATTGGGGGGGTTCTGGGGGTTTTCCTCCAGCGCGTTGCCAGAGTCCTCTTCCTTGTGAGCCGCCTGGCCGGGGATGTTGTCGTCCGAGCTGTAGTCTAGATCGCTGTCCATGGAGAAA